GTGCCTTCAGGCTTTGTTGACCCTTGGTGATGAGTGTGACATCCGGATAACTATTCAGGCGTACTGTCCTAAAGAAACCTATCTGCACAATTACTGGGTGAACGGTGTGGCGCGGTCGCCCATCCGCCCTGAAGTGCTAAGCCACGATACACTAAAAAATTTGGGTCAAGGCAGATTTTATGAGGTGCCAAAAAGTATAAAGTTCCGTTGATAACGAGACATTTCCCATCTACTCCTACCAACTCTAACCGTCTGTAGATTTGTGGCACCAAACGGACTTAGGAATAGCGATGGGATTCTTCTCCGGCCAAATTCGTAAGGGTCAGGATACTCCAGCGTCGCAAAATGGATATAGCTGGGGGCCTCCCGCGATAACACCAACACGTCGCCCACGAAATACCGGACGAAATGATACTCGAGAACCGCCGCCCCCTTACTCTCCTCGCGCAACTTCGAGTAATAATATTCCCAATTCGCCCGCCGACCCCTCGAATTCCATACAAGTCGCGGATGACTCGCCCTACTCCTTCCTGCGCACCTTTGACACCATCTTCCTGATTGACGACTCGGGTTCCATGGCCGGCCGGTCGTGGCGAGAGACCTCTGCGGCACTTGCGGCCATCGCCCCGATCTGCACGGCCCACGACCCGGACGGCATCGACGTCTACTTCCTGAACCACCGCAACCCGCACACCACGGGCAGCGAGGGCGGGTACACGAACATCGCCACCACGGCGGCGGTGCAGAGCCTGTTCCAAAACGTGCGCCCGCTGGGGGGCACCCCGACGGGGACGCGCCTGAACCAAATCCTGAAGCCGTACCTCGCGAAACTGTCCGAGTCGGCCGACCGCCAGTCCTCCGCCGCCGCCGACGCCCCCGCGGTCCGCCCGCTCAACATCATCGTCATCACCGACGGCGTGCCCTCGGACGACGTCGAGAGCGTCATCGTCAACGCCGCCCGCAAGCTCGACGCCCTCTCCGCCGAGCCCTGGCAGGTGGGCATCCAGTTCTTCCAGGTCGGCCGCGAGCCCGAGGCCGCCGACATGCTCCGCGAACTCGACGACGCGCTGAGCGGCGAGTACCACATCCGCGACATGGTCGACACGGTGCCGTGGAACGGCGAGGAAGGCGGCAGCGCCGGTGGCGACGACGACCAAGGCCTCACCGCGCAGGGGCTGTTGAAGGTGTGCCTGGGCAGCGTGGTCCGACGGTGGGATCGGCGGCAGGCTTAAAATTTCTAAACACCGGTTTCACGTCACAACCAATGTTAGTGCAAAAGTGGGATTGGGGTGATCCTGTGAAAGGTTCGCTAGCGAGGCTTTTCCGATATCCTCCAACTTTCAATGAAGGTCTATCATATACAGTGTGAGATACGCAGCGGCTTACGTCAATAGCGGACCATGACGCTCTATCAGAGGAGAATTCAATTCGGTAGCTAGGCGAAATGGAAAAAGCCACTTTGCGACTTGAGGTTGAAAAGACAAAACACGTCACGCCTAGCGAAATCAAGAATGCTTTCACCCACGCCCTAATCGCTCCAATTCATCAACTCTGTTGCGTTCTATAGGTCGGTATGCCAGCGCCATGGCCTCAGAAGCCCCCTCCCGTGAAAGACTTCGCCCTCCAATCGGTGGAATACACAACACTTTGAGGGTTCAGCCGAAGCCCCGAATTCCTCCTTGTATGTCTTGCCGGGTTTGATACTGTATGGTCGAAACTACCAATAGGGAGTCCTGCTCGAACTGATGTTCATTGGGTGACTCCGGTTTTCTTGAGTTCCACTCACTCCCGAGAGATGGGTGCTCTGAGGGGCTCTGATGGGTTCAACATTACTCTGGCGCGGAATCTCACCAGGCGAGGCGCCCCACCACACGGGCTGCCGATTCGTATTCTCGACCGTCGCCATTATCCAACCCTCAATCCCCGCTGTCAAGGGGCGGTTATTTTGAGGAAGGCAACCGCCGAAGGTATGGCCCGTTTGGGGGTAAGTGGCGTGGCTCAGGTTCCCTTGGGTATTGATGATGGCGGGGTGACCCAGGGACGACACCGACGTAGAGGGAGGACTGACAGTACTCGAGTCAATCGATGTGCGCTCGAGAGGCCTACGAGCCAATGCTACCCTCCGGACGGGCGCGGGGGCGTAGGAGCCCGTGTCGTAGTGCGCGTATGCTAAGTCGATATGAGCACCGACTAAACTCTCTGTGAAGATCACTCTAGAATTTGGAGATTTCGACTCACAACATTCTGCTTCCGAGTATTTGCATGTGCCATTCGCCTTCCAGAAGAAACAGGTGAGACGTTTGTTTAGGGGGCGTTTTCGACCACATCGACCTTCTCCTCGTGAAGGCCAGGGCGAACCAGGGAGGACTGTCGGAGCAACGTATGGGTGGACATTGTAGGGAGATTGAAAAACTGGTTCCATCTTTGGGGACCGGGCTCTCCGTGGAGATAGTGAAAGCGAAAGAAAGCACTCGTTCGCAAGGGGGCTCCGACGTCAATACCGCCGAAATTATATATCTCTTGGTAAAGTCTTGCCACGGATAACCGCCGGATGTGCGTTTGTCCAAGTCGCCGTTGGGTCGGTGCCGGAAATCCACGGAGTTGGTTATGTTCGTCTGGCGGAGAAGGCGGCGTTTTGGTGGGTGTCCGACCCCTTATTTATACATTTATTCTCCTTTCGTAGAAGCGTTCTAATATATACCTAGAACATGGAGGCCGTATCACCCTTATCGTCAGATCAAGCCGTAGCTGAACTCAGTTTTGTTTAGAATAGCAGCTTTTTAGTGAAGAGGGGGGGGGGGGG